AAAGTTAAAAGTAATTAAGCATAAATTTATATATTATTATATTAAATATTCTAACATTAACTATTCACTGTTTTTTCTTGCAATTAAATTTATATTATGGTTATATTTAGCAAGCTAATTAAATAATAAATTACATGGCGGAAAACTCCTACCACTGCGATTTGCGAGTGAGACTGCATATGGGTCCTTTTTTTTCAATCTCCTTCAAGGTCTAGCATCGGTATCCTCTTACTATATCCCATTTTCTCTCTCTACCTCACTTGATTTTTGTATCTACGACGCATTTCGTCGCAATTTACGGATTTATATTGCAGTATTTGAGCCTAGTCTTCACTTAATTTTACTATGAACCATATAAAACAATGGTGTATTCATGTTTCGTTAAAGGAGTTGAATTGTTGGTGGAGATTATTGAAAGAGTAAAAAACCCTAGCTTAAAGTTCAGTGTCACATCATTAAATTAAGTTTTAGGAGACGTTTGGTTCGTTGGAATCCGTCGGAATCTGATGGAATTGAATGGTCAATTTCGTTGACCAAATTTCATTCCAATGTTTGGTTACCTATGGAATGAAATTGAATTCCAAAGATTCCCAAATTTGAGAAATTCACCATTCCTTACCAAATCTGATGGAATTTAAATTCATTCCATCCAAAAGTGTTTAAATGACGCAAATACCCTTATGCTCTTATTAAACCCTAGCCGTTGCTTATTGCTTGGATGTTATGTGTAAACACTTGTTGGGAACAATATTTATATATGTGTATTTGATGTGTCAACTTGTATGAATTGTTTGATTTATGGTTTATTGAATTTTTTTTCACGTTTTATGTGTATATATATTTCAATAAATGATAAACATTTTTTTTTCTCATTAAATGTTATTTTTATATTGTTATTTGTATTTAAAAAATTTAAATTAAAAAAATAGAAGTAAGGGTATTTTTATCTAATTTTCATCATTTCATTCCAATTTTGTTGCAAACAAAACAGACAAATTTCAATTCATTAGACAGATTAAATTCCATTCATGTCAACCAAACACTTGGTCAAACCTGATAACATTTTATTCCAATTATTTCCAAATTCCAATTTCTTTGACATATTCCATTCATTCAGAAATCATTCTGCGAACTAAACGCCCCCTTAATGTTTTGATAGGCTTCAACACGAGAGGTAGAGGGGATATGATATGATTTAGGGAGTCCTATCGATACAATTTAATAGTTATTGGACATGTGTACCTTGAAATTCTTTATATAATAAGAAAGATACATAAAGTGTAAAAAAATAAAAACGCACCCAACATAACAAGTTTCATTTTTTATAAAATAAAGTCAGTCAAAAATATAAGAACAATAACAATTACAAAATACAGTCACAAAAACTATAACTTGTAACGATAGGGACCAAACTACACTTTTCAACAAATCATAAAGACAAAAATTATATTTTACTTATTGAAAATATAAAATTTTAAAAGGTTGATTTGGGTCCCGTAAATATTTTATGATGTATTTTATAGCTCGTTGTTCTATTATGTTTATGTCCACATGTGCCGACTCAAAACCATTTATATAGAAATCGAACAAGACTAATAAATAACATAGATGTTATTTATTCGAATTGGTCATCGCGATATATAAATATGTGGTAGTGGCATTAATCATTGGGTCAAGAAAACCATGAATATTTGAAGTCAATGATCAAGTGTACCACTTGTGAAATGCTAAGATATATGGGAGACAAATTAATGTAAATCATGTTTACTTTCGTTACATTTTTGGACCGAAATGTTTTACATGAAATCTTTACTTTTGTGATCTTCTTTTAATTAATGTTACGATGAACGATTTTACATGTGGTAAATTAAGTATAACATTGAACGTTATATGGTTGGATAATAGATATACACGTTAAGTAAAAACATCTTTTAAACTAAACTAAACCTTTTTGAATTACCGTTGCGTTTGGTACGAGTGCGGCCATAAGTGGATCAAGCGATTCAGAGCATTTGTTTTCTTTTATTCGATTTGTTAATTCGAAGACCAAATGAATTTACTCTCGGATATGATATAGCATTCTTGAACTATAGGATTAGGAGATACACCTTAAAACTCATGCATGGTTAATTGCGATTAAGACCATTAAATGCACATTTAAACCAAATCAACATAACAAAAGTGAATACATGCATATTGCTAACATCCAAATATAATATTGCCATATGACGCAAATTAATGGTAATTTGACTCTTAAAGCCAACCGAATCTATATTATATTATAAATATTTGACAAAAAAACTTAAAATTCGTGTTTTAACTTTTATGTATGAAGTACTGATTATTGATGCATATTACTTAAAATTAAATATCACAAGTAAATTTTACATAGTATAACTTATTAAAACTTTGTTTTTGAATTCGTGTAATTAACGACAAATAAACATAATCAGATAGAGGATAAATATTTCATTTTAAATATAAAAAATCTAAAATATTATTAAAATAATCATTGAGTTCTAACAAAATACATAGTTATTGTTTTTATAAAAAAATATATCACTAAACCAAAAATAGAAAAATGAATTAAAGAAACACAAAAAACAAGAAATACAAAAAACAAGAAATTTTAAATAGTTAGTTTGATACTAATATCAATATTTTTTTTTCAATTTTTTATGATATCTTCATATTTATATTTTATTCAAAAATAAAAACATTATTGTTTTCTCAAAACCACATAAAACCGTATTATAACATCGACCGAGACAAAAAAAAACATTAAAATCGAGATGTATCTCGCTGCATTGTACGAGTACCCTTATAGTGTGTGTGTGTGTCTATATATATATATATATATATATATATATCAATGATGTTTATTTTGCAAACCACGTTATTTATACAAACCGTATAAATCTCATTCAACCAATCATAAGTTTTTTATTTTGTTCATTTTTTTGTAATTATGAGAGATTGATTAATCATTTTTATTCGATGATGTTAATCATAGATATTATCATCTTCATTATATTTATTTTAGAAAAATACATGAAACAGTTTTATTAAAATTTTATAAGTATTATATGAAACAATTTCATAATCATATATGAAACAACTTTATCAAAAAAATATTATATGAAATTTTTTCATAAGATTAAACAATGAAACCAACGAATGAGGGTGGTTTGCACGGTTTGTACAAATATGAGTGATTTGCATTTGATTGCTCTCTCTCTCTCTCTCTCTCTCTATATATATATATATATATATATATATATATATAGGGTTGGGTTCACGTGAGACCAAAGATTTTTCGTGAGACCCGTAAGACCAATTTATGTTCATTGATCAATTTTATAAATAAATGATCTAATGGTT